GGTGGGGGGGGGGGGGGGGGGGGGGGCGAGCCGAGAGTGGTGACCATGGCGACCGCGGTGACCATGGCGACCGCGGTGACCATGGCGACCGCGGCTCAGAGCACGGAGAGGTCGTGACACGACCTAGAGCGCTGCTTGAAGAACTTGGCGTTGCGGGGCACCAGGTTGGCAAGGAAGCGCTTGGCCTTCTTGGTGAGGCTCTCGCGGCGCGCGGGTGGCGCGGGGCCCTCGGGGCTGCCCCGCTCGCGTGTTGTGGTGCAGCGCGGCCGACGTCTCGATGTGCTTGCAACTCAGTGTTCCTGCCAGGTGGCGGCCCTCTGCGGGGAGGGAGGGGATCAGGCGCCTGCGGGTGCACTGGGCCTGGGCAGGGTGCGCCGTGGAAAGGGGTTGAGGCGAAGAGGGCAAAGCGGGGATCGTGGGGAGGGAAGGGGGGCAGTGAGAAGACATGACGGGGAGTGGAGAGAGGAGCTGCTCAGGGCCCTAGGCATGGGCATTGGGAGACTGCGCTTGGCCTGGGGCTAAATGTCAAGTTTGTGCAGCTGGCGGTAAAAACGCCTTATGCAAAAGAGGTGACTTGGAAGGGAGAAGATACCTTAGGCTGGCAATTATGGACGCGGTTCAGGATACCCACCCTCCAGTGAGACCTCCCGGGAGCGGGCCAGGTCACTCTTGTTTCCAACGAGGATGACAGGCAGGTCGTGGTGGGGCCGCCCAGCGCGGAGTCGAAGTAGAGTCTCTGGAACTTTGGAGAAGCTTCGTCGGTCAGTGACTGAGAAGACGATGAGAAAGGCATCCCCGGTCTGAAGGCAGTGGTCCTGCAGCCACCCCGCGCCATCCCCCTGCAGATGGGCGGGAAGTCACAGAATGTCAGGGCGGGGAAGCGTGGGAAAATCTGCCCAGCACCTATGATCTCGAGGACGAGGAATCAGGATGTGAGGGAGAAACCACCTGTGTGGAACAGCAGAGCTAGGGAATGGCAGAATCTCCATGTCCAGGGTGTGTTTGTGGGCGAGGCGCAAGTTAGTAATGTGAGCCCACACTGGGGAACTGGGACACAGGATCCCAGGCTAGGGTAGCCCGTCCTATTTTCTGATACATAAGCTCAAGAAAGTTTAAGAAATGACTGCTATTCAAGTGTTATGTAACCTGGTCTCTTGTTTCTATATAGTAACCATTTACATCCAAACGTTCACAAGTCCTCACTTTTTCTTTTTCTTTCCCTGACATGACAGAGCCCTGAAATCTTGAGGGGTCAGACTCTTCCAGGCTGAAAAAAAGTATGGATAGGGTCAGTTTCAGAATGTTTAGCCTGGCTTGGAGCTGCAGGGTTCGCCAAATTCAAATCCTAACTTTCCTCTGGGTCAGAAGACCCTGGAGAGAAGTGGATCTTGAGGCCATGACATGCGCACTATTGGGGGCCTTTGCTCTCTATGATGATAACACATGTTGAAAGCAGCGCCTGCAGTCCCACCAGCCTTCACCCAGGCTTTGCCCTTCCCCAGTTCTCCCAGGGGCCATCACCTGCTTGCAGCCGCGTGTTAGTTCTCACCTGTTCCCAGATGTCATAAACAACTAAGGTTACTTCCTCCTTATCCACCATGATGCGTCTCTCATAGGTGTCCTCTGTTGGGAAATAAGGACAGGGAATAGTGCCCATTAGGAAGCTCCCCACACTTGTGAGACCTGGTAGCCAGGGATGCCTCAGATCCCAGAACCAGGGACCGTCCTCCAGGGAGGTTGCCACAAAAAGCATTGGAGAAACTTCTCTGAGGTTCTGGCTCCCAGGGGCTGCTCATGCCTTGAGCTCTCCCACCCCTGACTAGCTCTGGAGGCACCCTCAACCCTTGCAGGGCTCCCTGAAATACCTGGGTTCTCCGGCTCGTGAGCACTGTCTCCCTGGAGACCGCCAAAAGTGCCCGCTAAGGAGCTCTTGCCCACGCCACTCTCCCCCACAAGCATGACCTTGAAGATGCCATCCTTTTGGGTGGTGGCTGCCTCCCCTGAGCCCAAGGAGTCAGAAGAGCCAGAGGATGAGGCTTGAGGTGGCCAGTCAAGTTCATCTACAGCCTGGGCCCGCCGCAGCTGGTGCTTGTAGGGGACAGGCATGCTGCCTCTTCGTCTGGGGACCCCGGGGGCAGAAGGTGGCCCGCTCCGGTCCAACCCTGCCAACAGTTTCTCTGACTTCTTCAGCAGGGTGGCATTTGCTTCTGGGGGGCAGAGAGAAAGAAGTTATGAGCGGGGTGTGCCTCGCCATCTGCAGAGGGCTCAATCCTGGTTGCTGCAGCTTTAGAGGCCCAGTTGATGACCATGACCCAGAAAGAGCTGAGAATCTTTGGTCTGACCCCTTACACCGAAACCCTCCCAGAAGCCTGAACTGGTGGGGCACCAAGGAGCTGACCTGATGGCTTGTCCAAAGTGGCTCCAGCCACAACCTATTCAAAACTGCCCCTTGCAGGGGAGTCTCCTGTGTGCAGCCTTGCACACCCACTCACACTTCACACTGACACAGAGGCACACCCTCTGGCTGGGGGCTGCTCTTCCTTCGGCCGAGGCCTTGCCCCTGCTGCTTCCTGCACTGGCAACCCCCTGGCTTGCTGGCTCAGGGATGAGAAACTGAAGCTGCTGCCCATGTTCTGTGGGGGTGGGTAGTGGTAGTCAAAAACTTTGCGGGGAGCCCGATCTCAGGGAAGGTCCTTTGCTCTTTGAGATGTGTGCTTTGTGTCTCTGGGTGTGTGCATGAGAGGGGCTGCCTCTTCCTGTGGCCTTGTAAGCGAGTATCCCCCAGTGCGTGAGAATCCTGCACCCCTGGCTGTTTCCGTGAGTTGGAGAAAATACTGTGTTCATGGTGAGGAAGAGGGAGGGTGGGAGAGGGAGACAGCGAAAGAGCAGGAGCAGAAGAGCGTGACAATGCACGGGTCAGGGTAACAGGAGGAAGATGGACAGACACAACAAAGGGGGATGGAGAGAGGCTGGAAATAGCCCAGGATCAATACCTGGCTAGCAGCCAGGGCCTCCAGGAGCCAGAAGAAACCCTTACAACAGGTCCCCAGGGGAGCCCCTTGCCTGTGATTCCCAGGCTTGGGGGCCGCCCCTTCCCTTTCCCGTTCCTTTCCTCCTGCCTCTTGGGAAGGAGTCGGACCTAGGGGGCCAAGTACAGATTTCCCCAGCGTAGCCCTGAGAGTGAGGGGGAGGGGGCATTTAAGCAGCTCTTCCTCCCACCCCCCAGTTCAGCCCCATTCCTAGTGTGAGTGGGCGGCTTCCCCCCTTTCCAACTTGCTCTACCCTTCTTGCTGTTTGGGTTCAAGCTCCTTTAACCCTCTAGTTCTGACCTCCCCACCAAAGCTTCGGCTCCCACCCCCATGGTTCCAGCCAAAATCTGCCCGGCTCTGCCTCACCTGGTGTGGGCGTCCCTGGGGGGGAATTCTGGTGGCTGCCGGAGGGGCAGAGTGCTGTGGTTTCTGTGTCCGTGTCCATGTCGGCGTCCAGGTCCGAATGCATCGGTGTGCGTGTGTGTGCAGCCCGGGCGACCAGCAGCACCGCTATCTCATTTAGCAGCACTGTCAGCTTTTCCCTTTAAATACCACCCCCCCACCACGTGTCCTCCCCCCTAGACACCTGGGGAAATTGTCCCGCCCCTGATGAGGTCACACATGCTAATGAACAGTGATGTCAGCGGGATTCCCTCCTTTCTGCCCTCCCCGCTTTGTGTCGCTTCCCTCTGGGAGCACAACACTGCAGAGTCCGGGTAAGACAGAACAAAGTCAGAGAGCAGAGGAGACAGGGTCTCAGAGAAGTGGGGCGAGGGTTTGGTGGGTAAGGAAGGCGGGAGGCAGGGACACAGGACCGAGAGGTCTTTCTCCAGGAGCCAGGATTATGCATCATTTATCTCCGTGTTCCCAGACCCCTAGCCCAATGTCTAGCCCAGAGTAGGTGCTCTGTGGCTAAATGGAGGGCTAGAGGCAGAAACCAAAAGAAATGCAGAGATGGGAGGCACCCACCTTGCCACCAAGCTTCCCTGCCATCCTCTCCTTCCCCACACCACCCCTTCTGGGCTAAGGCCCAGAGAAGTACCCATTTCCCAGCCTGGTCCCTACGTAGATGGGGCTTTGAGGAAGGAGAGATGTTTGCTTTGTTTGGGCTGCTTCCTTTTGTCACGAAGTTCAGGTGCTGCAAACCATTGTGGGACTTCCTCTTTTTCTCCCTCCCTGCCAGGCCCACCAGCCTAGTGTTAATTGGAGCAGGAAAGAAGGAAGAGACTAACCCTCTGGAGGTTCCCAACCCCAAGGTGGGGTAGAGTGCTAGCCCCTCCCCTTGAGTCCCTCTCTGGGACAGCCACCAGGGCTTCTGGGCTACACAAGGCAGACACAGGGTCTACCGCCTTCTGTAAAGCCAGGATGGGTGTCTCATTTACTGCTCGTTTCCTGCCCAATTACTCTTGGTCTTCCTTCCTGACACCTGCAAGCACCCAAACATTCCGATTTCCTAGCCCCTGCTGACCCCATTTTTGTCAGGTCTTCCTACAGTATCTTTCATCCTCATGGCTGTAAGGCTCAGAATGGTAGGCGGATGGCCTGCCTCCAAATCAATCATGCAGCTGGAAAAAAAGTAGGGACACCAGGACTCTCACCCACATTTTTCCAATGCCAAAGATGCTTCTTCATCTCTATCCTATGCTGCCTTCCTTGTCTTAAATATTCCAACTGTCTCCTATTATTGGGAACAATCCATATTGCAATCTTTGGTGGACTTTTCCAATCGAAGAGGCAAATGGTAATCGGACTAACATGCAGTAACAGTTCATTTACCTAGAGACCAAGTACAGAGCAACATTGTGGGGTCTAGTGGGAGCAGAAAGGACTCCTGAGCAGGTACAATATTCATGCGCTTTACTCATAAGATAGACTCTCTAGTCTTCAATTATGGACTATTTATCTGTTATTCACAATTTTAATGTGTTCATGTGTGTTCGTGTACACATAGATCAGAAGCACATTTGGAGCAGCAAGTAGTAGGGAAGCAACACCACAGAAACCTTTTAAAGCAGTCATAAGCATTTAAAAGATGCTCTAATACCATTTGGCATAAAGGCAAACAGCCCCCTGACACTGTTATAACTTCTGAAAACATAGCTTAGTAGGAGCCATTGGTTTCTGTGAGATCCTCAGCATCCTGGAAAGATTTATATTAGGTCCTGGCTCCCAGGGGCTGCTCCCACCCCCAACTTCCATCGCTGAGCGCTGTCTGGAGACCACCAATGAGCTACATATGAGTATAATGTTTTAGAATGATTTCCTTCCAAAAGGAGTTTTTAGAGAAGTTTTAAAGTATAAAGGTGCGAGCTTGATGTAGCTGGAAAACTCAATGAGGTGGTTGGATTCATTTTTCTGGTATGAGATGGGTGAGTCAGGGGCTGCTGCACCCAGCAAGGATTCCTGAGTATGACGTCTGCCTGCCCTCACACCAGCCTTAGGCCACAGGAACAGGTTGGGTTTCACCTTGAACCACCATCTCTCTTCCTCACAGGTAAGAGGCTGTATACTTGCTCGTCCATCTCCAAGCTCCCTCAGGAATGGGAGAGCCTATGGAATAGTGGGAAAGGGTGAGATCTGGAAGCGAACCAGCCCAGGTTTAAATCTGCCTCTCCGTAGAGACTAGGCTCATCTCCCAATTCCTTGGATGCTGCTCTGAGCCTGTGAACTGGCTCATGTGGTTATGATGCCCATGGCACAGCCTTGTCATGAGGGTTGGCCACATGGGGTAATGGATTTGACCCTTAGCAGGGAGCCCAATTATTGGTGCTCCCGTGGCCTCTTCTGTGTGGCTGGAGGACGAGGCTGGGGTTTCCCTGGGGGTGGGGGAGCATGTTCCGTCAGAGATGCCTCAGCTCTGCTCCTGGGCATAATGCTCACCCCCATAGTTCCTTCTAAATCCTTTGTCCCGATTTTCATGTCAAACTCTGGGACAGCTCTATCACCTTGCTTACCAGAGGCTGCGTTCCAACATTTTCACGGATCATTCCCTCCTCCATCACCCTCTCCAGCTCTTTGGCTCTGGCTACGGCTTGCGTTCCTGCACCTTTTCTGAGGTTCAGGGTCCAGCTTATTATAGCCTTCACTCTCAGATCTGCTTAGTTTGCTTATCCGGTGGACACTCCCCATGCCTGGAATTCACAACTCTATTCCAACTACTGACAGTGTTCTTTAATCTAGTTGGGCCTTCTTCCAGGAAGACCTCTTAGATTTGGCCAAGTAGATGCTTTCTTATTTTTCTCTCAATTCACCTTTGCCTGCTTTGAAGCAGCCTGTTAAAAGCTCACCTGCCTAGGACAGACTGTAATTGTCTGGTGGGGGTAGAGGGTGGAGGGCAGGAGTCACCACTCCCGTATTCTACCAGGGACCATCTCCTCCTGTGATCTGTACTCTGCAAGTACTCCATAAATGGAAATCTTTCCAGCTACAGGGCCCAGCAGGCTCACCAGGCTCTGGTCTGGCAGTGAATAGAGGTTTGGTGCTCACCCTGGTGTCAATCACTGCAGAGTTGGGCCCCAGGTGGTGAGTGGAGGTGGAAAGGGTTGGTTCTTAGGACCTTAGAATTTTCTTACCCACCGTGTGGTAAAAAAATCAAGAGTGTGTGATTAGATCAATAGGAAGAGGGGAGAGCAAAGGCCTACATAGGAAGGAGCAAAGTGAGGTGAGCATAAGCTGAGATGGGTGGAGACGCATGGCTCAGGCTCACAGCTCATGTACAAAAATCTTAAATTTCCGATTCCTTTATTTTCAACCTTGACTTCTGGGCAATGACCTAGCTATTGGACAAAAGCATTTGTTGTGCTTTTTTTTTTTTTTGAGCCAGGCCCTATAGGAAGGATCACAGTTGGCAAAACCACAGGCCCTGCCTAAATCCTCCCCTTGGGGGCTAGAGGTCTCTAGCCAATTGGCACGCTGGTGCTTAAGGCCACTTTTGGTGGGGGATTGGTAAGGATGGAGTGTTCAGGCCTATGACCTCTTAAGAACTTTACTCTTTAAAAAGAGCCACCCAAATGGTGTGGTGGTGTGAGGAGAGGGTGGTGGTGGAGACTGTGATCTCTGGCCAGGTGCAGCAGGAGCTCTGTAAGAGCCCTCTCTGCCTGAAGGACACCTAACTTGACAGCAGCTACTCAGGGCCCAAGGGAGGCTCATCAAGTCCCCTCAGACCTAGGGTCAGGGAGGGAAGTAGTGGGAGTGAAGCTGAGCTGTTTCTAAAGGGTGGTTGTCACTGTGACTAGAGCCCCCAGGGGAGCCCAGGTCCCCTCAGGCAAGCAGTGGCTCGTCCTCTGCTTCAACTACCCAGACTCCCGGCTCAGCCAGTGGCACCAGCAGTACATCGTCTTCGTCCTCTGGGGACAGGACTATCGTGTGGGGTTCAGGTGGGGTTTGGGTTGGTCCTGGGGGCCGGATTGGTCCTGGCGGCCGAAGGCTGGGCAAGAGGCGGCCTCGTAGGGCCTGCACCACTCCAGACAGCAGTGATGGTTCTAGGGGCACTGAAGGCAGTGGCCCTGGGGCCTCCAGGACAGTAGGGAGGGCTGGAGGTATGCTAGCAGATGGGAGGGGAGCCTTGACAGGCAGTGGTGGTGCCTGTTCCCCATCCTGTCCACCTACTGCCCCAATCTCACGGGCTGGACCTGTGCTGCCATCTAGGGCTTCAAGGGGAGCATCAGAAGGTGTGACTTGGGGTCTGGTTTCAGGGGTTCGGGCTGGAGGGTTGGTTCGAGGAAGCAGGCCCCAGCGGCGGAGACGGCGCACCAGGCGGCGGACAGTACGGCCCCGCTGGCGGCGGCGGGCACCTGAGGCACCCCCTGGAGTCATATCCTGGCGCAAGATCTGTAGCAGAGAACGCAGGTTGCCCAGCACTGAGTTCTGCAAGGAGAGGAGGAGACATCAGTCGGAGGGATGAGGGCCAGAAGCCTGAAAGGAGGGACAGTGGAGTTGGGGGCAGCATGAGCTAGGGTTGGGGGTAGTGACTTACATCATTAGGATTCTCTGTAGGGAAGTCCTCCACAGGTGGGATGGCGCCCTGGGCAATGAGCTGCCCATAAGACGGGGGTGCCTGCTGCTGCACAATCTCAGCCTCCATTCGGGAGAGGGGGGCAAAAATACTGGAAGGAATGAGGGCTGCTCAGTCACAGGTGGCCCAGCTACAGTCGCCTGTCCCAACCTGGACAGGCCTCTTCCCTCCACACCCAGGACAGCACAACTGAAGCTATACCATGGTTTTCCCAAAAGTCATCTGAGGTCCCCTCCTCCCTTGTGATGGCTTTCAGAAGATAGACCTGTTCTTTCCTCAAAGAAGCTCTTTCCCCAAGCTGGATAACCCCAAGCCAACCCATAAGCTGGTCACTGAACCTATCCCCCACATGGGCACCCTCCTGGTCTCCTGTGGCAGCACGGGCTCCGTCTCACCCTCAGTCCCCACGCCTCTAAAGCCAGCTGACCTGTACTCCTGGGTGCGAATGGCATAGAGCTTGCAGGTGCAGCCCAGAGCAATGACCAGCAGCAAGCCGCACACAAGGCTGCCAATGACTGCAGCCGTAATGACCTTGCGGGGCAGGGCATAGGAGCAGTCCCACTCATCACTGCCGTCAGCACAGTCTGGCTGCCCGTCGCACACCCATGTCTCATACACGCACTTCTCGTCCCGACATCGGAAGTTGCCAGGCTGGCAGTGCCGGCAACGTCTCTCATCTGCTCCGTCAGCACAGAAGGTCTGGTAGTTACAGCGGTCAGCAGGCAGGTAGCAGGCTGTGGCACTGGGGGTGCCAAAAGCCCCACAGGGATAGTGTCCAGGTGGGCAGCTGGGGCAGTTCTCCTCATCTGTGCCATCGGCACAGTCCCATGAGCCGTCACAGCGCTGTGCCTCACTGTAGCAGCGCTCACCTAGGCCCTCACCGGCCCCCAGGCCAGAGCCTAAGCCGCAAGGTTGGTCCCAAGGTAAGCAATAGCCCTGCACGTGGTAGGTGGCATTGAAGCCCCGACCGCTGCTCCAAGGAACTGTGTGGTAGGCCACGATGGCTTGGCCAGACAGCGTCTCCACGGTGACAGCCTTGCCATTGTTGAAGTGGGTGAGCCTGCGCAGCCGCCTGGAGGTCTCAGGGGGCCCAGAGCCATCATACACATGCACTGCATCTTCGTAGCCCAGATCCAGGGCTGTGAAGCGCACTGCGAGGCGCCGGCCGTCGTGGGGGTCCAGCAGCCAGAGGCAGGACTGGGGGTGGGAGACTGACGCCAGGTGTGAGTATCCAGGGGAGGAGAAGACCCCATAGAAGTCTTCCAAGGTGTGATTGCAGGGTGGGGTGGGGGCAGAGGCTGGGATCAGGTCAGGGAAGGGATCTGAACTGCAACCTGCCTCATCCGAGCCATCTCCACAGCTATCGACCCCGTCACAGTGCTGGGCTGAGGGCACACAGCGGTGGTTCAGGCACTGGAACTCTTCCTGCAGGCATATCAGCCAATCTGCAGAGGCACCATGGAGAAGGGCTCTGAAGCGCCGGAACTGGTGGGGCCCTCCCCCGCTCCCTGGGGCTTCCACTACCTGTGTTAACAGCCCCAGGGACTCCCTGTCCAGCCTACCTTGGCTGTAGGAGAGGAGAAAGCCCTGGCCCATGGGTGCTCTGGCCCCGGCATAGCTGTAGGTGATGGTGACATTGCCCCCAGGTAGCTGCAGAGGGCTGGCAGGTGCCTCGCACAGGGAGATCTGTGGCTGGAGAGGGGAGCGCAGGATTAAGCGCTCTGAGCCACAGGCCAAGTGCAGTTTTTGGAACCTACAGGGGTAGAGAGCAGGATGTGAGATATTCTTTTTTTGTTAATCCTCACCCGAGGATACTTTATTGATTTCAGAGACAGGAATGGAGAGAGAAAAAGACCAAAAAAATCAATGTGAGAAACATCAATTGCTTTGCCTCTTGTATGAGCCATGACTGGGGATCAAACCCAAAACCTGGGTATGTGCCCTGACCTGGAACAGAACCCACAAACTTTTTTGTATATGGGATGATGGTGCAACTAACAGCCACACCGTCCAGGGCCGTGAGATATTCTTGATTACTACTGCTGGCTTCTTCCTCCCCAGGACTTTTCTACACCCAAAAGCACAAGCATCTACTTATCCACAATTCAAATGGCTAAGTGAAAATTCAATCAGCTAAATTCCTTAGGAGTCAATGGCACTAGTCCTACCAGAGGCCAGTGGCACCTTGAGACTATGTGATATATCCTAGATTCCCATGGAAAAACAGACGTATCTTCTGGGACTGCAATATGAACAGGGGTATTGCTTTCCAGCTGTTGCAGCACGGTCACTCAAGTACAGTGTTAGCAGTAACTGGCAGCTACCACACAGCTAGATTAGCCAGAACTTGCCATCCCCTCCAAATGCCTGGCAATGAGACGTGGGATCACCATGGCACTTTGATCCCTCTGCTCCAAAAGCCTCTCCAGATTTCCTT